AAATGCATGTCAAGATAGCCGGTTACATCGAAGCAAATTGCATGTCAGACTAAGAAGGATCCCATATTATCTAGGGTTTTACAGTGTTTGTCACTAAATAATAAGGATGTATTGTCGGAGCAGCGATACAAGCCATTTACAGACTTGTCTGTTGTACAGGATTGTATATTGAGAAATACCAGAGTAATAATCCCGGACCGTTTGAAAGGTAGAGTTCTAGCGGAGTTACATGCCGAACACCAAGGTATTGTACGCACAAAGGCAATTGCTCGTACTTTTGTGTGGTGGCCTGGTATTGATAATGATATTACGACTTATGTAAGAAACTGTGAGGGATGTGCATTCCAGCAGAACAATCCAGCTCCCTGTAAGACACACCCTTGGGAGACACCTAGTACTCCATGGCAGAGAGTACACATCGACTTTGCAGGTCCATTTCGAGGTCACACTTTCTTGATTGTGGTTGACTCATTTAGTAAGTGGCCTGAAGTTATACCAATGACCTCTACAACTGCATATAGCACCGTGAGAGTGCTCATGTCCCTATTTGCAACGCATGGTATTCCTGAGCAAATTGTGTCGGATAACGGACCTCAGTTTGTTACAAGTGAGTTTGATAGTTTTTGTAAGGGGAACAACATCAAACACATTCGTAGTGCTCCGTATCATCCCACAACGAATGGTAAGGCAGAAAGATTTGTACAGACGTTCAAGTCTAACATGAAATGTAGAGGCAGTAGCAGATCTGGTCTCACCACTAACATAAACAGGTTCCTATTATCATATAGAACCATTCCTCATGCAACCTCAGGTTATCTGATTTGGGGTTTGATCTGCTTTCCATAAGTCCCGAATGTTCACGGGGATTGTGTGTAAAATCTCGCTATACTTACTCAGGTATGAGTAGTTAGGTAAAATCCATGGCGCTAGATGGCGCCTGGTTGCACAATCCTTTTGTTGAGTGGTGGAGTAATGGATAGAGTGGCCGCCCTACGATCTGGCGGCCCGGGATCGATCCCCGAACAGAGAGGTTATATATTCATGATAAAAATGCGGTAGTGCATTGTTTCCATCTTTTATATATATATATATATATATATATATATATATATATATATATATATATATATATATATATACACACACACACACACACACACACACACACACACACACACACACACACACACACACACACACACACACACACTTGATGAGTTCTAATTGATGTTGCCGTTCTCTCTCTCTATGTTGCCGTTCTCTCTCTCTTTCTTCTAACTCTTTTTCAAATTTATATCTTTCAGAGTTTAGTTTTTGAAGTTCAAGAGAATCTGTTTCAGTCTTATTTAGACTTACTGTAACATTTCCATCAATGTCTAAAGCTTCTGTAGGCAATACACTTTCTTTTACTAAAGTCTGAAGGACTAACTCCCTTATTTCACTTTTACGAGCATTGCTTTTTAAAGGAATGCAATGTTTTGCTAGATTTATCCAATCATCCTTTTTGCACTTGTGTAAATTTTCATTTGATGGCTTTTCAATAAATTCTTCAAAATCAAACATTTTGTATTGCAGTGAACAGCACAACAAAATTAAACTTATAAATTAAATAATTAAACTATAAATTTGTAATTTAAAGCAAATAGCTACTTGATGAAGTTAAAACAAAATCACTTTCATTTTAATTACTAAATCAAAGAAGGAGGCTTAATCTACAAATTTATAACAGGTCGGTTGGCCAAAGGTAAAAATAAATGAAAATATTATTGGTCTTCACTCTTCACAGAAAAATAGGTCAGGCCCCCATGTGACTATAATCTAGGGGATTTCTTATTGTTATATGTATTCAAAACCCAGATGGGTAGTGCAACCAAATTATTCATCATAAAGTAGCTCAAGAGGTCAATGAGAGAATAATTAAACAAGAACAAGTTGATTATTCATCAAACATATGTAATATACAAAAAACATGAAATATTAGAAAATTAGGAACATCCATCACCAATTAAGTATAAAAATGGATAACAATTAAGTATAAAAATGGATAACATGTGAAGTATCCTAATAGCACCCTTGTACGGTGAATATCAAGTGAAGACACAGACATTCTTTCATTGAGAATATAAAATATGCAGACATTATATCGGAATAGAATAATTATAAATGTTCGTGGTTCCTAGCCTCGCAATGTCAACACAACCACAACAACCTGTTGCGAGGAGTTTCATTTGTTTGTTTATGTGTGTAATAACATACTTTGACCAACCTTTAATATGTATTTAAAACCATCTTAGATATATAAGCAATCTACAGGAACTTACTTAAAAGCAAACAAGGCTCCATGACGTAAATTTTCCGTCTTAAAACAAAAGGAATTGCACACAACCGCCTTCCTCCCACGATGTCGGGCAACTACAAAACCGTTTTCCACAGATCCACTAAAGTTAATTTCTCTTCAATGATTACAATCTGAATATCAACTTTTTAAAACTAAGTTTAATCATCTTAGACATTTTAAAAACACATTCAGCAGAAATAGGTATCAAATAACGAGTTACTAAAATATGGTAATTATTTAATGTTTACTTGGATCGAAGGATATAAATGAAGAAAATGAATCAAAGGATAGACTTAAATAAAATCAATAAAACGGACAAAGGTATATCCATTACACTATTATCATTATATAAATAGTTATAATGATAAAAATAGCAATAATTATTAGCATAATAATTATCATAACTGCAATAATGAGGATAAAAATAATGATAATCATGATGATAATAAGTATAATGATAATAATAATGAAAATAATGACAGTAAGGATAATATGGACGATAATAATTATTATTCAGTCCATTTATAATGAAATAAAGGCCAGAAGTAATAAAATTCCATAAGTCGAAAAAAACGGCAAAAACTAGAGTAGTACAGCATTTTGAGAGAAACGTCGAAAAAAAAAAAAATCGCTTTGTAATGGTAATCATGAGGATTTTAACATTAATTCAGGTAATTATGATGATTTTCATGATAATTCCTTAAATATTGACAATAATGATAATAATTATGATGATAATGACAATGATAATGACAATAATAATGATAAAATCATAATTATAAGGATAATTTGATAATTACTGCAATAATTAACTCTATTCATATAACTTTCATACTAATAATGGCAATAGAAATAATAATATCATTATCATTGTCATTATAATTATTATTATTGTCATTATTATTTCTAAAATTATCATTATTGCTATTATCATTATATAAATAGTTGTAATTATATAAATAGCAATAATAATTAGCATATTAATGATTATAACTGCAATAATGGTGATAATATAATGCTAATCATGATGATAATGGCTATAATGATAATAATAATGAAAATTATGACAGTAATGACAATAATGTTGATAATAATTATTATTCAGTCCATTTATAATGAAATAAAGACCGAAAGTAATAAAATCCCAAAAGTCGAAAAACGGCAAAATCTAGCTATTACCTTTCGCTTTTTAATGGTAATTATGAGGATTTTATCATTTATTCAGGTAATTATGAGGATTTTCATGATAATTCCTTTATTATTGACAATAATGAGGATAATCATGATGAAAATGACAATGTTAATGACAATGATAATGATAAAATCATAATTATAAATGATAATTTTGATAATTTCTTCAAAAATAGCAATAATTAACTCTATTCCAATATTTTTCATACTAATAATGGCAATAGAAATAATAATTACATATTATCATTGTCATTATAATTATTATTATTGTCATTATTATTTATAAAATTATCATTATTGCTATTATCATTATAAATAGTTATTATAATGAAAATAGCAATAATAATTAGTATAAAAATTTTTATAACTGCAATAATGATGATAATAATAATGATAATCATGATGATAATTACTATAATGATAATAATCATGAAAATAATGACGGTAATGATAATAATGATGATAATGATTATCATTCAGTCCATTTATAATGAAATAAAGGCCAGAAGTAATAAAATCTCATAAGTCGAAAAAACGGCAAAATCTAGCGTATTACAGCCTGTTGAGAGAAACGTCGAAAAAAAAAACTTTTTCGGTTTTTGATGTAATTATGAGGGTTTTAACATTAATTCAGGTAATTATGATGATTTTCATGATATTTCCTTTATTATTGACACAATGAGGATAACTATGAAGATAATGACAATGATAATGAGAATAATAATGATAAAATAATAATCATAATGATAATTTTGATAATTATTGCAATAATAGCAATAATCAAATCTATTCCAATAATTTCCATACTAATAATGGCAATAGAAAAATAATAACATCATTATCATTGTCATTATAATTATCGAAAAAAACACTTTTTCGCTTTGTAATGGTAATTATGAGGATTTTAACATTAATTCAGGTAATTATGATGATTTTCATGATAATTCCTTTATTATTGACAATAATGATGATAATTATGATGATAATGACAATAATAATGATAAAATCATAATTATAATGATAATTTTGATAATTACTGCAATAATTAACTCTATTCCAATAATTTTCATACTAATAATGGCAATAGAAATAATAATAACATCATTATCATTGTCATTAAAGTTTTATTATTTCATTATTATTTATAAAATTATCATTATTGCTATTATCATTATATGAATAGTTATAATGATAAAAATAGCAATAATAAATAAGCATAATAATTATTATAACTGCAATAATGATGATAATAATAATGATAATCATGATGATAATGACTATAATGATAATAATCATGAAAATAATGACAGTAATGATAATAATGATGATAATAATTATTATTCAGTCCATTTATAATGAAATAAAGGCCAAAAGTAATAAAATCCCAAAAGTCGAAAAAACACGCCAAATCTAGCGAATTACAGCCTTTTAAGAGAAACGTCGAAAAAAAATTTCTTTTTAATGGTAATTA